AAGAAGTGCATGGCCTTTTTGGGCAGAATTGTACGTTTTTGTCTACTAAGACTAAAAAGGGGGCATAATGGTCGCATTTTGCACCCATCGCCTCCTACTAGTAACTAGCTTTCCTTTGGCTGAAACAAAACGGCTAAAAAGCATCCAAAAAAACAACCAGGTGTGACTGAAACCTCCACTGGAAGTACATGTGGCAGGGTGACAACGCAGGAGCACAATTGGGAGACATGGATAGAGCGTTGTCACCCTATAACAGGAAGTGCCTGAACAAGGATAAAGCATTGACACCCTATAACAGGAAGTGCCTGAACAAGTTTCGAGCATTTGTCACCCTATAACAGGAAGTGCCTGAACAAGGATAAAGCATTTGTCACCCTATAACAGGAAGTGTCCGAACAAGGTCTGAGCGTTGCCACCCTATAACAGGAAGTGCCTAAACAAGGACTGAGTATTGTCACCCTATAACAGGAAGTGCCTAAACATGGACAGAGCATTGTCACCCTATAACAGGAAGCGCCTGAGCAAGGACAGAACACAGTCACCCTATAACAGGAAGTGCCTGAACAAGGTCCGAGCATTGTCACCCTATAACAGGAAGTGTCTGAGCTGGGACAGAACACAGTCACCCTATAACAGGAAGTGCCTGAACAAGGACAGAGCATAGTAGCCCTATAACAGGAAGTGCCTGAACAGGGACAGAGCATCGTCACCCTATAACAGGAAGCGCCTGAGCAAGGACAGAACACAGTCACCCTATACCAGGAAGTGCCTGAACATGGACAGGACATTGTCACCCTATAACAGGAAGCGCCTGAACAAAAACCTCCGTGGCAACCATATTGTAATAAAAGTTGTATTACTGTGTGGAAGCTTGTAGAAGATTCAGGTTTAGGTGAAGACCTCAAACATCGTCCCAAAGTAAAACACAGGAATGTTGCTGCACAAAATGCATTTCAGGTAAAAGCTCTTCTCCTTCCTGTGGAGCCAATTCACATTTACGGCCATTTGATGTCTTTTTTAAATGGAAGCTATAAGGGCCCATTCACACCTACGCAGTTGCATTGCCAGGAGCGCGCACGCAGGTGTCAATTGGCCCCGGAACGCTTCTACGCACTTACACTTCTTTCAACGCGGCCACTTTAAGGTTTTCGGCATTAATATGTAACGTGTCTATTAGCATTAACCAAGGGACGCTCACGTGAGCTCAGCCCAAGCGTGTGCGTTTTGGATAAACAATGGGCAGCTCCAAGGGGCACATTCCGACTGGAGAGGAACATGACACCCTCGGCTCCTCCGGTGTTCCTACAAGATGATCCGGATTGTGTATACACTACGTGGTCACAAGTACGTAGACCATCGCGCCAATATGGCCACAAGCATTTGGACCATAACACCAATATGGCCAATGGACCATCACGCCAATATTGCCACAAGCATCTGGACCATCACACCAATATTGCCACAAGCGTCTGGACCATCACACCAATATGGCCACAAGCATCACGCCAATATGGCCACAAGCATCTGGAGTATCGCGCCAATATGGCCAATGGACCATCGCGCCAATATGGCCACAAGTACGTAGACCATCACGCCAATATGGCCAAGGGACCATCACGCCAATATAGCCACAAGCGTCTGGACCATCACACCAATATGGTCTCTAGCGTCTGGACCATCAAACCAATATGGCCTCAAGCGTCTGGACCATCAAACCAATATGGCCTCAAGCGTCTGGACCATCAAACCAATATGGCCTCAAGCGTCTGGACCATCAAACCAATATGGCCTCAAGCGTCTGGACCATCAAACCAATATGGCCTCAAGCGTCTGGACCATCAAACCAATATGGCCTCAAGCGTCTGGACCATCAATCCAATATGGCCTCAAGCGTCTGGACCATCACACCAATATGGCCACAAGCGTCTGGACCATCAGACATATATGGTCAATGGACCATCACCTCCAGTATGGCCAAAAGTGTCTGGACCATCACACCAATGTGGCCAATGGACCATCACCTCCGGTATGGCCAAAAGTGTCTGGACCATCACACCAATGTGGCCAAAGGTACATGGACTTTCCCCAGATGGTTGGGTTCAGATGTCTCCAGTGAAGGGCACTGTTAATATTAAATCATACAAAGACATTTTGGGCAATTGTGCTTTTCTAACCTTGTGGTCACAGTTTGGTGAAGACCCTTTTTCTGTCCCACCATGACTGTCCCCTGTGTACAAAGCCAGCTCCATAAAGACATGGTGTGACCAGTTTGGGGTGAAGGAACTCGAGTGTCCTGCACAGAGCCCTGACCTCAACCGTACTGAACACCTTTGGAATAAACAAAAACATGGATGGTGAGGCAGGTCTTCTGAGCCAACATCAGTACCCGACCTCACCAAATGGGACAAATTCCTAAAGACAACCTCCAAAATCTTATGGAAAGAGCGCGGGCTGTTACAATGTTGGCCTCCCTTTGTGGCTGTATGACCTGAGGTTTGTGGACACCTGACCTGCATTGCCTATATGAGCTTGGTGGGCATCCCATTCCAAAGCCATGGCCATTAACATGATGTTGGCCTCCCTTTGTGGCTATATTAACGGCCACGGCTTTGGAATGGGATGTCCAACCTGCACATATAGGCATGAAGGTCAGGTGTCCAGAAACATCTGTCCATATGGCCACAAAGGGGGCAACTCCACATTAGCAGCCATAGTATTGGAATGGGATGTCCAGGTGTCCAGTCCACAAACCTCGAGTCAAAGGGGGGGGGGGCAACGTCTTATTAATGGCCATGGTATTGGAATGGGATGTCCCACAAGCATGATGGCTAGGACT